GCTCAGGGCAAAAAGTGCCTGCTGCCTTTTCTGTAGTGAGCCTTGTCTTTCATTCCATTGCATGTTCCTTAAGTGCTTTCCAGAATGAGGGGAATGACCTCCTATGGCCAAGAAAGCCACGGAGGCATCTACCAAGCAGACGAGGTCTAGAGGTGTGTTCTTCATATCTGCAAGTGCTCCCATGGTGCTCAGTCCAAATGCTTGCCTGGCCCTGGTTTCTAGATTGGCAGACAGTGTCTATTAGATCGGCAGGACCCTTTCCCACAGGCTTTGTAAGGCTCCTGCTAGACTCAGAGCTATGATCAGGCAGCAGTATCTGGACACCGTGGTGGACATGCGCATTTTCTTGGTTCTTTAGATTGACCAAGACTTTCCTCTGTGGGATAGAGTGCACATAGAAGGTGGAAGTGTGTGTGTGTGTGTGTGTGTGTGTGTGTGTGTGTGTGTGTGTCTAGCCTCGTGAGAAGATACTCAGTGGAGGAGTAAGCTCTCTGGGATGGGATCAGCAGGGGAGCAGGAGACAGGGCTAACAGAGGGCGTGGTCTACACCATGGGAAGTGGCACCTGGACTGAAGGGAGAGTTCACCAGCAGCATCACGACATCAACAATTTTGTTGTTCTCTAAAAGATGAACAAAATCCCAGTTCCTCTCTGTGCTGGGGTTGTGATGAAATAAGGGTCAACTTGTTTGCACATTGATCTGGCCTCTACTAACTGTTTTAGCTCCATATCTTAAAAAAGATTTAAGAAACGCTATGAAAAAAAGAGGCTGGGTGAAAAGAAGCTTTGATCTTACAAAAGTGTGTGCCCTGGAAACATTTTTTTAAAGCTAAATATCTGTCAGTGAAATCTCACATTCAACATTATGGAGGATCTGCCGTCTCAGAAGTTCTCAGGGTCTGCCATGGAGCCAGGCTTCACGTTGCTCCTCAACAAACCTGCCCCAGTGAATGCAGGTGGGATGTTCATAGCCCTGCCAGCACCAGGTCAGGGTGGCTGGGAAGCCGAACAGGAACTTGGGGCTGGGCATTTCCTGGGTGGCTGTGGGCCATCGATACCCCCCCAGACAGTGTCCAGGCTCCCGAGCACCTTTTAGACATTGGCACTAGAGGCATGGTTCTGCCCATTCCTCCCCATCTCTGACTCTTCTGTGCTTTTCAGGGCAGGGCTGTTTTCCTTCCTTGAGGCAGACAGGATTCTCACTTCTTCCCTGAACCATGCCTCTTCTAGCACATAGCAGCAAAGCCCAGTGTGGGGGGTGTTGGTGTTGGTCTGTTGTCTCTTTGTGTCCTCATCAGAGCTCCAAAGACTGAAATGAGCCTGGCTTAGGGAGAGAAGCGTAGAAGGCCACATGGCCTGCCCCAGTTCTGGAACTCAGGTCACTTGTTTCCCCAGGCCTTGTTCTTTTGGTCTCTTCTCTGTGCAGACATGTGTTTACCCGGAAGCCTGGAATCAGATGTTTCAGAGATGCTCTCTAGGGTAAGGGTGAAGGACTGGCCATTCAAGAAATCCTAAGGGAAGGAGCTGTTACTTCTAATCTGTCCTTATTTTGCATTATTGAGTTTCCTACGTTGCCCATCCATCCCTAGGTATTGTTGGAAAATGATTATTTTTACATTTTTCCTAAATTTACAATTTCCTAAATTTACAATTTCCTAAATTTGCCATTCTGTCTGGAAAGCTCTGATGTGTCCACTTTTATTCATTTATCTAGGAAGCATCACTTCAGTTTATCCTCTGAACACACACACACACACACACACACACACACACACACACACAAGTGGCCTCCAGGAAGCCTTCTTTGTGTTTCCCAGGTCCCCTCTTTAACTTTTGATGGTGCCCAGATACCTAGGTTAAGCTGGTCATTCACAGTAGTCGTTGCTAGTAGTAGCTGCTATTTCCCCTGACCACAAACAAGACCTGCAACTAACTTCTTGAGAATGGTAATGAAGCTACAAAGCCGGAAACTGGTGCTATGGCTTCCAGGTTCACCTCTAGCATGATTCCCTTCAGCAGTCTCCCATGGGTACCTCTTGTTGGCAGGACCGAAAGGCACACACTGGACATGGCTGCAAGGAATCCTGGGAATTATAATTTTACTCTTTCTAACCTATATACCTCACTGTGTAGTCCTACGCAGACAGATGCCCAGTTCCTAGAACCCACATTCCTGAAGAGAGAGGGCAAGTTCTATGCATGTTGGACAGTATCAGTACTTTCTATGGTTGATGCTTAAGTGTCCCCCCCCAAGGCTTCACGCAGTCATGGGGTGGCTTTTAGAGTTTGTGATTAATTTATGATCCAATGTGGGGATTATGAGTATGAGTTCTGAACCTGTCCTGGGGCAGATAATCTGCATACAAATGTAAAGAGGGGAGAGAGGCTTGCTAGCAGCCTCACTTGTGGCTCATCCCTTTGCTCTTTGCTGTTTTCCACCACCACGAACTGCCACCCTCTGCCATGTGCCACTTTGCCTTGGAGCCAGCCGAGTATGAACTGAAACCTCCACTAACTGTGAGCTAAATAAACCTTTCCTTCCCTGATTTTGGGTGTTGGGTGTTTTGTCTCAGCAATGAGAAAAAAGCAACTGAAATAGCACTCTAGCATAAGAAGTGCCTTGAAGGGTCTGGCCCTGAGATGTGGCAGATTACACTTCAGGCACTGAGGGATTTCATGCAAGTCACCCATGCTTTTAGCAACAGATGACTTGGATTCTTAAAAAAGACAAGAACTCAGGCAGGAACCCAGGTTCCTAGGGCTTTTCTATCCTTAGCAGCTCACCAGCCTTCTTGGTCATGATGGAAAGTTTATGTTGGACAATAAATAGCCCATCGGTGGCTTAAAATTAAAATGACTAGAGCTTGCTCATGGCAGCTGCAGCATGTAGGTTGGGATGGGATTTTAGAGAGACTCAGGTCTCTGGATACCCAGGCCTCACCTTCACACCTCCTCCCACATGCATGTCTGATGAAGCAGGAAAAAAATATGCAGCCACTGTAAAGGTGTTTCTGTAAGTCGGGGGCACACCACTTATATTCCTACTTCACCAACCAAAGCGAATCACACAGCCCGCCTAACTTCAAAGGTGTGGAATGCTACTCCTCCCCTGGGCCAGAACGGGAGAATCAGAACTTGGTGACAAGCACTAATTAAGAAGGCTGTGTCATCCATCCTTTCGTGTTGCCCACAGCTCAGCTGGAGTAGCTCCCATTCCTCCATTTCTGCTTGTCCATTCCTCCAGCCATAGACATGTTCAACTCTGAAGATACTGATACAATTTCCACTTGAGCATGGCCTGTGAAAAGCTAGCAGTCCCCAGAGGCAGAATTCTGCTCAAGCTTTCTCTTAAGTGGATCAATGGTGCTGGGGATGCTATGATTTGGCGGGTTGGGAATGCTGTGCTTGGCTTTGTGTAAACATCCCACCTAGCATCCTTGGATTCATCAGGGAAGAGGACAGGCCCAAGAAGCTGGCCATAGAAGTTTCCTTTGGCTTAGCACAGGATCCTTCTCTGTCTAGGTCTCGTCTGGCCACCTCCTACCTGATCTGAAGCCATTTCTGACTCTTGTGAGCCTTCTTGTTGCTTGTATCTCATTCCCACCCTTTCATGCCTCCTCATTCAATTATCAATGTTTATATAAATCCCTCTGCTCCACACTAGCTGTCAGTCTCTCACCTGCTGGGAAGCTGATTTGCTCTATCTAGAGTTGTCCTTACTGCGCAGATGGATCTCATTAAGTATTTTTGAATGGCTCAAGGAGTGAAACTGTCCATGTTTCCTCAGGGTTTTTCCTATGGAAGATGCTTAATGTCTTCTGAGAGGAAAATAGATGGAAGGATAAATGGGTGGGTACATTTTAAAGGACGGAATATGTACAAAGGAAAGTTAGCATCTCATAGAGAACGAACAAGACCTTTCATGCGTATTATGTAGCTCACAGACACCAGCTCTTGGAACAGAGGGGACCAAATGGAAGCAGAGAAAACTCAAGCTCACCGGTCACTCTACAATTAGAGGTTCCTGCTCTGCTACAGCCAGCAGTGCCACCTGCATGTGCACATGACTGCTGGCGGGCCATGATTTAACTCTGCTGTACCAGCGGCAAGCTTCACTGGGCCAGCAGGTGGGGCACTGCCACTTTTGGGTGAGTTTCATGGTCCTGGATGAGAGTGTAGGGGGAAAGGAGCTACAGGACAGATGCCCTAGAGCTGTGATGGCGAACCTTTTAGAGCTTTCAATGACCAGCCCTGGCATGTGTGCCAAAGGTTCGCCACCACTGCACTAGAGTTGTTCTTGTCTTGAGGATCTCTGCCTTCCATGGGAAATGTTCCCCAGCTGAGATCTCCCAGCCCTCTGTGCCTGGAAGGGTCTGCAGGATGAAGCAGCTGGAGTCAGAGGGCACTGGTGCAAAGCGACCCACGTGTGTCCTTTCTGTTCCACCAGAGAAGGCTTGAGCACCATCTCCTCTTTCCAGGAGAGGGGAACAGAGTAAACATGGAATCCCATGCCTCAAATCCCTCCTCAGCGAGGTCTTGAAGACAAAAAGGGGACACAGGGAGATGTAGATGGACAGGAACGGGGTGTGTGTGTTCAGAGGAATGCGAAGGGACTCATAGTCATCCCTTTTCTATTAAAATACAAACACAGCCTTCACCTTCCTGTGCTACTTCCTTCTCATTTTTCTTTGGGCTCTAATCAGGGTTCCCTCTGCTGGGCTTGGCCTACTGGACTGGTGTCTCAGCGATGAGGTCTCTGCCTGGGCTTTCCTTTGCTATTCATTTCATGGGAAAGAGGATCCTGTGTATGCACCAGGAAGCCCAGAGGTTTGGGGACCATCTTCTCTCCAGAAGGCCAGGGCAATGGTCCTACCAGCTCAGCTTGGGCTGCTCAATGGACCAGTGACACTGTTTGTGAATGCTGGCTCGTGAGTATCCCCGGAAAATTATTTTCTTTCAATGGTGCCACCAGGCACCCCCATTAAGAAACCAACCCCATAAAAGATGCTGTGTAGCCAAACAGGTACCAAAGGATAAATGTGCTATATTAACATGAATATTAATGACGAACGCACTGCAGTAGTAAGCACATCATAGATACACAGAATATTCTCTATATGGTCTGAGCACAGATATAAAATAAGTTATACTTGCTTCATGTTCCATCTCAGCAAGGGCACAACAAAGTGACTATTGGTGGCCACAGAGCAAGCTGGGGAGAGACCATGAAGGAGGGCGTAGCACATCAAGTATGGTGGGGATTTGTGAAGAATGTAGCAGTCGCTGGGACCCTCCAGGGAAGAAGACTCCAGGCCTCTCCAAGTGGCCTTCTGAGAATCAACCAAGGTGCTGCCTGCTGAGAACTGGTGCTGCATTTAAGCTGGGATGGTTCAGGCTCATGGTGGGAGGCCACATGGGTCTAGCATGGAGCAGCCAGCAACCAACCCACTCTCCTGCTGGGTGGTGGGGCTTCTGTGATGCTGGGAACTGGGGGTGCGCAGCCAGAAGGCACGGTTTACTTCTATTAAGTGACAGATGGCCAGACTGAGGGCCCACCCAATGCTGGCTGGTCCTTCTCCCTTGCCAGCTGGTGCTGGGTGGCTGTGAGGGGGCCCCATACGCTCCTCTGTTCTCTGTGACTTGTCCGTGGGTGGCAATGCTGGGATCCTGCACACTCTGCCATACCCAGACAAGTCTGTAGGTCTGAGGTCCTGCCTTTGCAGCCTTTCTCCATTACGTGTGACTGCTGTGAGTTCAGAAAAGTCACAAACTCTGCTGTGTCTCAAAGTCCTCTTGTGCAAAATAGAACACTAACAGATTCTCCCCCGGGGCCCACAGAGAGTATAGCATAAAGCTGCTAGCCCAGCCCCTGGGACGTGGGAGGGGACAAAGAAATGGAGTCAGGTTTGATCACCCAGACAGCACAGGCCAGGGCAGAATATGAGCATGAGCAAATCCGTGCACTGGCTTGGATGAGTTTCTAGCAGAAGGTCAAGAGATGGCTTCCATCCTCCTTCCTCCCGATTTGCTCTCTTCTCTCTCCCTACAGGTGATTGTTTGAAATGAAGTGCACACAGGGTTCAAAGCCTTAGGATGAGAAAGACTAGAGTGCACAGCCCAGGCCAACATCTCCTCAACTGCACTGGGATGCAATGCTCAGAGGCTGAGTCCTAACTCGGCTCTCCTGCCTTGCTGCCCTTCATTTCTCAGGTCTCCTAACCCCTGAGTAGATTTCTTATTACGAAGGCAGAGAGGGAGAAATAAAAGCACAGAAAAGAGTGAACTGAAAATAAAATGAATGACCTAATCAACAAGAAGCCTTTCCCATCTCCTTGGAGCCCAAGTATGAAGGCACCGGGGAATAGGTTTGGGTGGGCAGGTGGGCAGTGAATTGCCCTGAGTCTCTGGGAAGTGGGAGGTGGGTCAGCCACAGAGGTGGAGACACAGGCTTGTACCCTCTGAGCTAGGCTGCGGCTGTCCTGTACCAATGCTGGGAACTTGGAGCAGTATTCAAATGAGGCTCAGCCTGGAGATATCGGCACAGCTATCCCTTCTCCTCTACAGTGCAGCTGTCGAGATGCGTGTGCATGTGTGTCAGTGTGTGTGTGCACGCGTGTGCCCATGTGGTCCCTGCTGCCGCACCCTCCTCTGACACTGCCTTTCTGCAGCTGGGCCTGCTCCCATTACTCTGCAATCTTCCTCTTGGAGGGTGGCAGGAGGTGGGCGGGCAGCTCGCTGGGCAGCTCGTGCCCTTCTAGCTTGACCTTGATGAGGTGGTTGGCCAGCGCGAACTCCTCATCATCCAACATGCCGTCCTTGTCGATGTCTGCCAGCTTCCAGATCTTGCCCAGCACACTGTTGGGCAGCTTGGAGCGCACCATCTCCTTCTTGGCATTAGCACCTGTGATCTTGCCATCCACGGGGGACAGGGTGTAGAAGATCTCATCGTACATGGGCTTGTCCCGGGCCACCACCCACTCCGCATCATCGATGCCCTCCCCTGCCCCCTCCCCATAGCCATGACCGAAGGGGCCATGCAAGGTGCCCTCGAAAGCTCCGCCCTTCACCATCTGCACGGGCCGCTGGGTCTCCTCCTGGCGCACCAGCACCATGAGCTGGGCGATGTCATGCGCCAGCATGTCATCCACCACCTCCAGCAGCTTGCTCTTCAGTGGCTGGAATTTGCTAAAGTCTTGAGCCTGCAGCTGGTCCTGGGAAAAGAGAAAAACAGGAGGTGGGAATAGAAAGGAAGATCTTCTACTTGTCAGGAGGGGCCCCTACTAATTTGCAATGTTCCGTCTCACTGCTTTCCAAGGAAAGGACTCTGGTCCAGAGGCTGAGTGTGTCACAGAGTCACCACAGATACAAGAAGGGGGAGAAAAAGGGCCACACTGGAACTGAGGATGGAATTTTCCAGAAGGAAGGAAAACAGCTGCAGGGGCTAGGGAAGAAAGTAAATTTACACTAATATGGTTTGATCTATGTATTTAGAGTCCTTCCTTTAAAATTTTGAGACAGGGTTTCATGATGTATTTCCAGCTCACTCTGAACTCAATTTGTAGTCCAGACTGGCCTCAAACTCACCACAATCTTCCTGCTTCAGTCTCCGGAGTGCTGGGATTACCAGTGTGCACTACCACACACAGGCCAGGTCCCTTCCCTTTTAATGTTATCCAAGGAGTAAATCACTAAATTTCTCTTTATCTGAGTTTTGAGTGTTGAACTGCAACTCCTGAATGCAAAAGTGTCGCTCTGGGGCTGAGAGTGTCTCCAGTTAGGGTTACACTTGAAACTTACAGAAACTATTTTTTACTGTCTGGTTCCCTGATTCAATCCCTACAGTGCTGCATCGGTAGGGAAATCATACTCCTAGTACGATTGTCACTTTTGTAGCCATTGCTTACAGGTCTTAGAATTCTTAACAGAAGGAAAAACAAAGAGCTGCAGGGTTCCAAGCCACGAATGATAGAGAAACCCAGATTAGCTACACACAATCCTGAAACTGGTACCTGACTCAAGCTAGGGCATTGGGCAGATGAACAGAGTCACGGACAAATACAATGTTCACTTTTTTTTTTTTTTTTTTTACTTTGTTAGGAAGAAAACTGAAATGCATGGTTAGGACTAGTGATGTCCTAAAAATCCTCATCCTAAGCTGAGAAACTTGTTCCCCACCCCGAAGATCAAAACAAGAGCAGCATTAATTACTGGTACTGCTATGGCTGCTGGCTTTGAGTTTCTAACCCACCAGTTGCAAAAATTAATTTTGAAGTAGTTCTGTCATTACATGACCCTGTTTGAATGACATGAAGGGCAGGCCCTTCGTGCTCTCTCCCCAGGGTCCCCCCAGCGACTTCTCACCTAAGGGCTGCTGAGTGCTGTGGCACAGGCTCTATGCTGAGCACCTTGCTTGCTTGCAGCACCTGCGTACAGGGTGCTTCTGTCACCTCCTTTTACAAATGTGGCTCAGAGCCTCAGAGGGGATCCAGCATAGTGTGGTGACTTTTCACATTGGTCTTGGGGACAGCTGTAGGCTTTTCTACTTGTAGCCTTGTAAATGCTATGTTGGGGATCTCAGCTTCCTTTGCTGTAAAAGGCAGATAAAAATACTCCCTCCGAGGACTGCACTGGGGAAAACACATGGCAAATTGTGAGTGGCCCGAGATAGGGGACTGAAGGTCCCCAAAGATGTCAAACATCCTGGTTGTCTGTCACAGGTATCCCAAATTGCTCCTTGGATGCAGCACAGAGGTAAAGCTAAGCGCCCACAGGCCCGGAGAACCCTGACCTGCCCTGTCACACAGGAGACAGGGGAGATGTCAATCTTGTCATGGCCATAATTAGAGAAGGTCCTAGACACATGTCTTAAACATCCTCTGACACTAGGATCCACTTTTGTTCCAAGGCTCGGATGTGGCATCTACTGGGACCTGGAAATCCAGTAGGGAGAACAGGTCTAGAGCCACTCCCTGCCTTCTGATCCTGTGTTCAGTTTCTCCTGAGAGCTCTCAGTGCCCCTCCTCCATTCCCTGGTTGCTAGCTTGCGGGACATCTTCCCCCATCCTATAGGCCTTGCACTGCTTACCTGCATCCTCTTCAGGTTGGGAAAGTCCCCAGGTGAGATCTGGTGCTCTCGTTCGATCCGGCCGTAAATCTCAGCCAGGTTGTTCACCAGCTCCTTCTTCTTGTTGTCCTTCCCGAACACTGAGGGCATCTCCTTCTTCAGAGAGCTGATGATGTAGGCATGGACCTGGGAAATGGGGCCAGATGGCAACCGTGACATCTGGACCCTTGACCAGCCCTTTCTCAGGCTTCTTCAACTTGCCTTTTCCCATCAACTCCTCCTTCCTCCTCTCCTGCTTCCCCTTCTGCAACTATTTCTCTCTACTCTCAGGCAGTGCTGGGCTGGGCAAGGTCAGGACTACTGTGGACACTGAGGACAGCAGACCTCTGCTGAGCTCTTAAGCATGAGGCACTAGGATGAGGGCTTTGACTCTCTTCGTTCTACTTTCCCTCCAATCACTCTTTAATGCCACAGATATGGAAAGAGGCACAGAGAGACGACCACCCTGCCGGAGGCTGGAGATCACTTAGGTGGTAAGCAGTGTCCACCTGACCCAGGGTCTGTGACCCCAGAAGGCTGAGCTAGCAGTGCTGCTCAGGACACTCCCACTTGGCAGGTGACAGTCCCACTGTTGAAGGGAATTATTACCTTTGTAGCTGAACCCCTAGATTTGTGACCCTGCTCCTGCCACTGTCTGCTGGGGCAGCCTTACCTTGGCCAATCTGGCTCTCTTGATAAGGTCATTGAGTTTGCGGAGGGCAGCGTTTCGAGGTAGGCTCTGGATGTCCCTGAACAGGTCCTGCTCCTCAGCTTCAAAGAGCTTCCGGTTGTCAGGGATGAGGAGCGGGTGGGACCAGAAGGAGCCGATGTAGACCCGGATCACCTCTGGAGTGTTCACAATCTTGCCCAGGGACCACATGAGGGCTCCGTACACCCGCATCAACTGCTGCGTCTCAATCTGGTCGGCCTTGTTCAGCACCACCCGCATCTTGTCCTCGTGGTTCTTGAGGGCCTTGATGACTTCCGAAAACTCATCAGAGATGTCCAGCTTATGGGCATCAAAGAGCAGGATGATGCGGTCCACCCGCTCTGCGAACCACTCCAGGACTGCTGCAAAGTCATACCCTGCCGGCAGAAGGACAGTCAGCGGGGTGGGCCTCTAGAGCTTGGGTGTGGGGAGGAACCACAGACATAAAGCCCAGATCTGGACTCAGATCTGCCTCTTCCATATCCTTATAGACCTTGAGAACATCATTCAATGTCCCCTAGTATTCTTTCAATCTAGAATACAGGCATACTATCATACCTACTAGAAGGATGAGGATTAAACACACTCAGAGCCCTGCATTTAGTAGATGCTCAGAAATGCTACATGTTATTACAAACATCCCTGCTCCCCTAGAGCACAGCCTCCTCCCAGCTCTCCTGTTCTTGCTTATTCAATTTTACAGTCAGGAGTCCTGCTGGAGAACAAATGCTGGATACTTAGTTTGAATTAAGGACTCAGAAACGTTTTAGCAAAATGTTTTATGAGTTCCCAAAACAACAAAACAGCAAATGCGAGTTATTGATGTCAGTCCTGACCACACCCATCACGGGTCTGGAAGAAATCTGAGCTCTTGTTCCGAACACAGTGACTGCATCTCATCTTGCTATAGCTGCAGCCCAGAACTACCAACTCTGAAGTCCAGGAGTGGTCTCTTCCCTAGGCTATGGCTGGACCTCTGGTGGCCATACCTTCGGCCTTCTCTCTCCGTACTCTGCATTCTGTTCTGTAGAACAGAGGCACCCTACATGGGGAGGAGGCTCAGAGAGGTCGAGTAACTTGCTCGAAGGCTCACAGCCCATGACGAGAATGGAGACGTCAGGCTTCCCAGCCCAAGTCTGAGCAAGATCTCTCTCTCTCTCTCTCTCTCTCTCTCTCTCTCTCTCTCTCTCTCTCTCTGCTAGTCCCTTGTGGTGCACCTCTGTCCAGGCTTCCCTTGGGTGTGGTGTGACCAACAACCCTGGTTCCCAATAGCACGTGGGTTACCCAAAGATCCCCTCTTGGGACCCAAAACTCACAACCGCTGTGGATGGAAAGCCAGTCGCTGAGCAGACCAAGTCATATGGAGACTGCTGAGCAGCTGAGCCAGACTGAGGAAGCTATGCCAGCAGGGGGGGCCTCAGCTGCTGCCTGGTAGGAATCCTCATAGGGCTTGTTAAACCCCAGGGGGCAGGAGGCCTGGGACAGGCTGTTCTAACAAGCCCTAGGACAGGCTATTGCTGCCACTGGTCCAAGGACCACACCGAGACCACTGGTCCCCATTAACAATGAATTAGCGCCAAGGCAGCATTCACTAGGTACCCAGCACTACTCTAAGTACTTTTAATGATAGGAGGTAGAAACTAATGTCAGACCCATTTTTCAGATCCAGGAGAGGACAGTGAATTGGTTGAGGTTACTGGCTGGCAAGGGGTGGACCTGGGATTCAGCCTTGGAAGGTGGTCCCAGAAGCATTGCACTGGCCTCTATGCTGACCTGGCTTACGAAGGCTGGTGGCACTTCAGCATGGGGTTGGATGGGGTAGGGGCTGAGGGCACATGGGGCTGGCCAGAAAGCCTGGGTTTTAGAGGCTCCCCCTCTGCATCTTCTGGATATCCAGGGGGATATTTAGGGCATGTTAAGGCATTATGATCTGTGGAGGGGTGGCCTTAGTGTAGGCAGGGTGAGCTGTTGTCCAAAGTTGCCAGGAGGAACCCTTCCTTCCATGCTTCCTAGGGCTACAGGAGACCCTAACCAGCAACCCTAACCTGCTGTCAGGACTCAATGCTGTGGGTGAAACACTTTCAGGCATCATTCCCAGACGACTTCCTATTGGCTGCCAGCTAACACAGAGTTTCCTCTCCTGCTCCCAGAGGGCTGACCCACAAGCCCAGTGGCATTGAGAGGGAGGTGGTACAACTCACTGATTTAATCAAAGGAGAACTGAGGCTCAGAGGTGGGCAGAGCGAGCCCAGAAGCATTCAAGTATCCTCCATGGCTCCCGGGAAGGCTCCTGCAGGGCAGGAGCTGAGGTCTGGAACAAACCCCACTTCGCCTTCTCATTCAAGGGCCAGGCCCCAACTAAGTGCCACAGAGGATTATCAGTCCCACCTCAGAGGTAGTCACACAAGCTCTGCAGCATTCAGGGACTCAGCCAAGATCACCCTTCCTGTGGGAAGCAGCCCGTGAGCTCCAACTCCAAGTTCAGTGACCGCTCCAGCAGGCGGGTTCCCAGGACCTCATCCTGCCCTCACCACGCCCTCTGTGGCAGGCAGCATGGGACCAGCATGCTCATTTCCAGAGGCCCAAGCTGGGGCAGACCCTCTGAGGCAGCCCTGGGAGGCGGTCATCCCACCCCTGTTGGCAGCCCCTGGTGGGCTGAGGCTCGCTCTGCCTTCCTCCCCTCTTGCATGGTCAAGGGCTTGTCATATTTTTCTCTTTCCTTCAGCCACCAGCAGGCAATGCTGGCCAGCTCTTGCAGGCAGTCCCTCAGAGGCCTGGCTGGGTGGAGGGTCAGAGAGTGCAGGAAATCAGGGCGACCTGATCCTCCCTCCAACCCCCACTGCTGAAAATGGCCCCGATTTCCCTGCTTTGGTCCTTGGAATGACCAGATTTTCCCTTCAGAGCAGGCAGGAAGGGCAGTGGCCCACTGGACACAGCTCTGTGCTCCCTCCCACTTGTCCAGCAACTTCAGCCTTCGGTGGTGCTACTGTGTATGCTGGCTTAGCTGCATACACTGGCTAAGCAGCCAGGTAGGCCCTGTAGACAAGAAAACAGGTCTAGGCAGGGTAAGAGGCCCAAAGCCATGTGGCATCAGGGATCAGGGGTCAGAGCCAGATGTGAGGTCCAAGGCCGAGCCCAGCGTCGGGGCCATCCCTCCCCTGGACTCGGTTGGGACAGCAGAGAAGCTGCTGCAGAGAGAAGAGGCCCTGCCTTTCTACCTGGGGGCACCTTAAGAGGGAAGAGGCTGAGGAGGAGCCCTCAACCTGCCCACTGCTGCTCTGGAAGGGAGAGGAGCAGCTCCTCCAGAGACCAGAACCTGACTGTGCAGCCGCAGTCCCCATGGGTGGGCGGGCTCAGTCCTCTCAGAGGTCTTGGCACACATGCACTTGCTTGTCCTCCGCTCTCCACAGGGATCCTCCCTGCTGCCCGGGAGCTGGGCAGGGCAGGCCTAGGCAGCCTCACCCTTCTCTGCTTCCCCTGCATCCAGCATGGGCTGGCACAGGGCAGAGGCCTCAGTAGTATTTGCTGAACAGAACAGAAACAGGAGTCCTGCTCTGCAGTTTATGCCCAGGAAATAGCGAACAAGTCACCTCCAGGTAGTGGTTTTCCTGTCTCTAATTTAGAAACCACCAGCCTCGGTGGTAAAATTGAGGCTGCAGGTAAATCGACAGTTGTGACCTTGGCCATCCTTATTCCCCTGTCTCCTGTATCAAGAGCTCCTGCTATGCATCAGGCTCCATAGGGCAGGTTGTATTTTTTTGGGGTCCGCACAGACGCACTGGGTTGGCCCATTCTATCTTCTGCTCCTTTACTAACTTGCTGTGTCCCTGGCCAAACACTGACCCCTTGATCTCTGCCTGTCAAACTAGGGCACTGGGCTCGATGATCCCTGGGCTTCCTTTCCTGGTTCAAAATTCTCTGCAGGTGTGAGGACTGGGCATGGGGGTGGGGGTGGATGAAGAGTAGGCACAAAGGCACCTTTGCAGGCACTGTGGGTGGGGAAAGAAGGCCGGAGCCTGCTGTCTTAGGCAACTTCGGCTTGCCTGGTGCTGTCTGCTTCCATCTGAGACAGGCAAGAGGCTTCCAGAACCCTTCCTAGGATTTTAGAAGTAGGGAAACCTCCTATTCATCCTCCTACTTCTGCAAATGCTGCAAGCCCTGGCAAGCTGCGATCGAATGACAAACAGTAGTGCCAGGAGCTCCCTCCCAGTGGCTGTGAAGGTGGGGAGAACAAAGCAAGGACTCTGCAGGCTCCTCCAGAGTTCACCCTCCTCAATCCTGCCAAAATCTGGAGCCAGTGGAACCTGTAGGATGGACATTTACTTGCTTCTGCGGCCTGGACCTGTGTGTGTGCCCAGGAGTGGAGGCACCTGAAAGGCCCAGGCTGGACCCTGGAAGGAAAAAGACTAACTGCCTATTTATTTTCTGAATGCTTTGGGCAAGCCAGAATTTCAGTTTTCTCAGCTGTAAAATGGAAATAGCCATGACTGCTTGCATGAAGGGGGACCCAGTGGCACCATGGAAACAAGATCCATGTTAACAAGCCATGGAAACAAAATGGAGGAAGGTGTGGCTTCAGTGTGGAGACTACCCCAGTGTCCAGGGTGAACAGTACTCCTGGCGACAGCCCTCTTCCCATCTTTGGTCCCAGGAATGGCTCTACTGAGCGCCCACAAGAAGCCCAAGGTCTGTGAGCCAGGGAGATTGAGAGCAGAAGCTTTCTCCCACCCCTCAAAATCTCTCTGCCAACTCTGCACGCTCTGGGGATCTGGTGGCCAGGCTCCAGAGATGCCAGAGATGGAGCTGTCTGCAGAGATCTGTGACTCCGTACCCTGAAAGTACCCAGCAGGAGGAAATCAATGAGACAAACTCAATACACAAGGCTACTCCTTAACCACCTAGTGGCTTCCTGGAGGTCTGAAATGCAGAGCAGAGCAGCACTGGTTTTTGCATTTTTATCTGCACAGCCAACTTCCTGGTGCTCCACAAGCCCAGGAGGAGCACACACCAGTCAGGAGAGGAAACAGGCACGCACAGAGAGGGTACGGAGCTCATCTGGGCTCACACAGTGCCAGGGGCCAATTCAGGCTCAGACTCCCGCCCACACACTCTTAGCTTGCAGCCCTGCATGAGCTCCCAAATCAGGCACTTTCGCAGAGGGGAGGTAACGAGTTCCCTCTCTCCCCTCAAATCACCAACAAGATTTAAAGACATTTTAGCAAAAGGGAAATAAAAGGGCATCCATCTCTAAAATAGGGAATGGACTCAGCTGACAACGGGGAGCAAATGGTGCTCTGGCTCCCTCCCAGATGTGGCCTCAGGAACAGCTGCAGCAGTGTCCTCAAAGGCCTGCCAACGCCCGCAAAGCTGCAGGTTAAGCCTTCTGCAGGGCGCTGGAACTCGGCTGCTCTGCCTGGGCCTGAGATAGCCCACACAGGCATGTGTTTACCAGCTTGCTAAGTGCTGGTCCAGCTCCAGTGAGGGTGTCAGGGGTGGGCCAGGAGTAGGAGCTGCGAGGACCTACATGGACACCCCCAGCCTGAGCCCCACAGGACCCAGAGGAAACTTACGATGAGAACTTTGCGCTTCCCTACCCACTATGCTTTTCTCCAGGCAGATAATGATATTGTGCTGAAATTCCACTGGGAATTAGGAGGTTGGAGTTTCCACTCCAGATGTGTGGCCTGGCCTGCTGAGTGCACCTGTACGGGAAGGGTCTGCTGGTAGCATCTAACTGTGCTCGAACCGCAGGGGTGGCTCTTCCAGGATGGGGCCAGTGGGAATTGCTAGCCGGGAAGCAATCTGGAATCATGGAGACACGTGGCTTTCCGGAGTTCTCCTGCTTCTCCTGCATCCTCGAGTCTTCCCAGTAATGAGCCCAGCCAGGCACATCCTGCCACTTCCAGGAACTGCCCCACTGACTGTCTCTCCTGGCCACCCCACGAGTCTCCATCCAGAGTCCAGTGCAGGCCTTGGGTTTCCTTGATCTGGCTTACTTGAGATACAAGCTCCTTCAAGTCTAGGTAAAGGGACACAGCCTGAGCAGGGGCCACATATGTTGGGCTGCAGCTCAGGGCCGAGTGCCCCCCCCCCCCCGCCATTGAACCTGAAGCCATAGGGTGCTTGGGAACAAAAAGCCAATCCAGTGTGGCTCTTCTGTGCCTCTGGGCTAACCTGACACTGATGTTCCTTTGACACTGAAGCAGCCCTAAGCCAAGCCTGAGCACAGCTGTGGGGGATGTGGGTTGGATTTTTCGTTCCCCTTGGCCAGGTACCGCCCCCCCCACAGGGCATGATCTGTAGGGTTGTCCCCAGAGACCCTGGCCTGCCCTGGGCTAGTCAGAGGAGTGAGGAGAAGTGCCAACTCTGCTCTGTCATCTTCCCCAGTGACCTGAGAGGCCCAGGCAAGAAACCACAACACCAGTTCAGTTCCGTGCACAGGCTTGGGTACATAGTGTGGGTATAGTAAGGGGTATGTGCATGTGAGTGGGTTTAAACAAGACCCCAGGAGGAAGGCTGAGAGAGGCTCTGCACACTGGAAATGCTATTCATTCAGGGTGCCCTTGATAATGCAGGGTGTCTGATTCCCTCTTCCCCACCCCCCACATCCTCAGGGTGCTGAGCTCAGCATTGGCCCAGGCTGGCAACCCCAGGCTGGCAGCCCGGACTGCAGCTCTTGCTTTTATCACAGACTGCATTTACCTGCAGCTGCATCTGCAGTCTGGACGCAGGAGGGCAGAGAGCATACTTGCATGCACAGCTGCTCACAGGGCCATCACTGTTCCAAAGCTGAACCTGCCTCGTGCTGAGCGTGAGTGGCGTAAGAGGGGCGGAAGTGTCGGCAAGAGTACCACCACCCAGCCACTCGCCAGGGAAGCCACTGAGGTCCAAAGATGAACACAGGGGAGAAGATAGAGGAAAGGGGAAATAGCAGAATGGGACAGGATCTGAGGAAGGCAGGAGTCCCTGGGAACAGAGCTGCCACAGACAGGGACACAGGCTGCACACTGCACAACACAAGGACACAGTTCACATTACCTGGGGGTGATATAGCGGGAGGCTCTGGAGGACAGTCAAGGAGGGGAGACAGGAGCTCACCATGCCCGAGACCTGCAGTGCAGGCCTGTGTTCCCATGTTGGCCTTTGGGCCTCAGCAGGAGGCTGCGATGCCTATCATTGTCCTCTGTTAAAACATGAGGACACTGAGGATCGGGGGAAATGTGGCCTGTTGGGATCCATAGGTATTTTTTTTTTGAGGTCCACAGTTTTAAATCCCAGAACTTGGGGCTTCTAGAATGCCTGAAGTCCCCGAAACCTCCTTTTGGGCTGCACTGGTCTTAAAGTTCTTGTACCTCAGCTCTACCTGGCTGAAGAGACGTTAGCCCTCCCAGCTTTCCTGAGGAGACAGGGAAGGCATCTTTGGGCCTAAGCTCATAAGGAGTCCCAAAAGCCACTTGGGTTGGGGTGGGACCAGGCACAAGGGAGGACAGAGGACATCCAGGCTGTGCCTCCACGGCCTTAGAGCAGGGAGCCAGTGCTCACAGAGGACCGCAGGCAGGAAGGTGAGGATGAGATACTCCACTTTCAGGGCCAGGGCCTCCACCTCCAGCCCAGCCCCCTCACCTGCATCACACGGCCACACTTAGCAGGCTGGGGGACTAGGTAGAGGTGACACTCTCACACCCAGCGATCATAGGCCACAGGTTGCGGGGATTGTTAACACTGTCCCAGGACTCCTCCTGACTCAGCAGCTTCCTTCCCCTCCATTTCCTGCTTCTCAGCTCTCCACGGTGGATAGCGGGTATAGGGGGACTTCCCCAGATAAGGACTCCAGGACGAAGATTCCCCGAAGTGTGGCTGAGGTCAACCCGACCCTGGTACAGGCCACAGCCGGACACAGTGCTCCAGCTACTTTTCCCTGTACTCCTCACACCCTGGGCCATGGTGCACCTCTGGGAGCTAATGCCCAGACCTGCGGCCCCATGCCTGTTCTGACCAGAAGAGACTGCCTTCTTCAGCAAAGAAGTCAAGGCTGCTCTCAGGCTGCTGGACAGAGGCCACTTCCGGAACCAGAGGCCTGGACCACTGGGCCTCGTGACACACAACCCCAGGAACACTTGCTGGTCATCCTGTGACCTTGCCCTCAGGAGGGCAGGGGCAAGCAGTGCTGGCCAGGGACAGGCTATGCCCTCAAGAGGGAGGCTCTCTGGCCGCCCATCCTAGTGGCACGGTCATCGGCAGGACAGCACTCTGGAACCCTGCGGCACAGCCGACTGAGGTACATGCTGCAGAGGCAGATGGCCCCAGAGGTCAGTACAGGAGGGGCCCACTGTGGCTTTCTAAAGAGAGCTGCCAGTCCAAATCTGTCCCTTCCTGGAGGGAGGGTGGCTTCCAAGTGCTGAGTTGGCTCGAGGCCCAGCTCCCATTTACAGTACTGGGGTGGGTACAACGATCTGATTTCCTTGCCAGGGACACAACCACAACGTGTGGCACAGTAAGGGTGAGGGCCAACCCAGGACCCACAGCAAATGCGAGAGGGGAGGTTGAGGGTGGGAAGCCAGGTCTTAGCTTTCTACCGCGTCAGCTGGCATCTTAGAGACCGACGACTCGCGTCTCATGCTTCCTGGATGCTGCCATGTGGGAGGCATTGGAAATTATATTGTTTCTTTTAATTCTCAAACAACTCTACAAGCTGGATTTCCATTGACGCAAAGAAGGAAACCAGGGAAGAGTCACTCTGCCAGGAAAGGGCAGAGGCAGGCACGGAGCCTGCCCGTCGGCTCTAGGGTTCTATCTCCCACACACTGCACTGTGACCTCCCTAAGTGACACTTGCTCCATCCTTATCTGGGGTGAAGAGTTCTCAAAGTACCCTCATGAGCCAAATCCCCCCTTGAACCCCATGAGCATGGTCAGCATCTGACACAGCACTTGTCCTACCCCATGCCCTCCAGCTCTGTGCACACATCTACCTCCTCTAGTGAGCTGCCACCCAGGGCAGGGACCACGGGAACATGCAAAGGGTCGAGTGTTTCTAGGGGCCATCTCTGCTTCCCCTCTTCTGTTCCACTGAGCCATGTTTCTGGCTTGGGGCCAGCATCATGCTGTTTTTATCACCTTAGCGTTATAGTAGAACTTCACATCTGGGATTGGGACACCTCCTGCTTTGCTATTGTCACGCAGAATTGTGTTTGCTATTCTGGGTCTCTTCTGGTTCCATATGAATTTTGGGGTTGCTTTGTCTAGGTCTGTGAGGAACGCTGTTGGTATTTTGACTGGGACTGCGTTTAATCCATTTATCAGTTTTGGAAGTAGAGTCTCAACTTTAAATATCACATGGTTTCTCTGATATGAGAAACCCAAGGTATAAAGAAAAGCAAAATCAAGGACCGATAAGAGGAAGCAGGGGGCTCTTTTTCCATGGGACGGGGAACGAGAGATAGAAGGAGCAGGGGGAATAAGAGGGAAAGAGGCCAAAAAATTAAGATAGGCTCCGTACACACACAAACTCCCCACAATAAGTGTAATCATTAAATACTATGAAGCATACTAATAAAAATATGTATAATTAATAAATAGGAGGAAGAGAAAGGGGAAGGGGAGGAAGCAACTTGCAAAGGAGCCAGGAGAGCTGCAGACAATAAGTAACTCAGGGTAAGTAAGGCAGATACTGGCATCCCATTTTAAAGATGAGAAGACTGAGGCCAGCTGAGCTCAGCTGCCAGTCCCTGCCTAGGTCGGACCTGCATAAAGTTGCTCCACACAGCCCATCCATGAAGGGACAGAAGGCTGTGGGTACTTTCTTCCAAGGGGACACAGGAATGGATACTGCAGGCTAGAGCAAGTGCACCCCAGCACCCAGCTTACCTCGGCTGATCCTCTGCTTCTCCCCGGACAGGATTCCTGGAGTGTCGATGACACTGATGCTCTCCAGCACGGCGTTGGGCAGCTGGGCACACACGAACCTGCACAGGCAAGTGGAGGGCCCCGGTAAGTGACGCCCGTGCCTTCCCGGAAGAGCTGCACAAGTGTGGCCCCCGGTGTGGTCCATGGGAGCCACAGCTCTGATCCCCCACAGCAGGCCTGCTTGGCTCTGGGTACCAGTGAGAGCTGACCAAGGACCGAGTGCCCTGTGGCTCTCTGCATCCCATCTGTGCCCGAAGCCCTGGCCTGATTCTGGCAGCCCAAGTCCTTAGCTGGTCTTGCGTCAGCCACATCCTGCCCTGTGTGGCTTTGCTTACCTTGGCTCACTCTTGTACCTTCAGCTTCTCTAGATGGCCAGAGAGAAGGCCCCACCCCTCTTCCCAAGGGGGCCCTGGGGACAGAGGCAGGAGGCACTTCAAAATCTGCACACAGAATCAGGATGTGAGGCCCCTTCTGACTCGACCCTCGCGGAAAGCACCATGTTTCCCCTCTGTCCTAACTTGGAGTCCTACTTCGTATAAGGCAGTATGTGTGGCTCTCAATGTACAGCATCACAAGCAGGCCATGGGCCTGGGGATCTGAGCTTTTGATGACATTCCTGGGTGACCCCGATGCAGCTACAACTCATGCTTATGTATCTGTGATGTTGAGGACCCCGGGATGTCCAGATTTTCATCCCTGCGGGTGAAAGACTGAAGTCTCATCCATGGGCAGCCACAGGCAAGGGTGCAATGGGCCAGCACTTCAAAGTAGAGGGGTTGGACGATCCAGGGGGGCTCCCCAGGGGACTTCCTGGAGCAAGCTGCACTGGGGCGTGCCTTGGAGGGCAGGCTACACTGCATTTACCTGGACAACTAAAGCACCATCAGACTATGCAACATGGCTCTAGGAGAGCAGTTCAGCTTTACTCAAAAGGAGCAGGGGACCATGGGCTGATGGGGACCTAAGAAAGGCCTGCTCGGTGGCACGGGGATGGGAAATCAGGAATCCCCAGCACAGCACCTGGTGCGACTGCAGCAGAGCTGGGGACAGGCGGGGAGGCCCTGTTCCCTGATGTCCTCTTTGGAGGTGCCTGGCCAACTCCTATCAGACCAGGAGCCCCACCTGTAATGAGGCCTGGAAGTCACAGACCTACACCGTCATCTATCTCCCAGTCACAGGCCCCGCACTGGGGCTGGGTTTCCATTCCTCTTGTTTGTATTTTTTCTCTCTCTTCAGTGTTCTCTGCCTAGAATGTCCTTTTCTCGCCTTTTCAGTGTCACTTCACCCCTCATTTAATGCCTGTGTGTCAAATGCCAACTTTCCCACACAGGCACCTCAGCCCTGTCGGCCCCTGCTCCTGTCATCACCAGCTTCCTCCACATCTCTGTCTACTGCACAGGAGTCGGCCTTGTGTCCCCTTTATTGGGCCCATGGCCTGCTGAGCTGGACACAAACTCCATGCCTTAGCTGGGCCCTGGGAAGGGGATGGGACCGGCCTCCACACGCCCACCTCGCACGCCCGCACACACCCCCGTGCTCTCCAGGCCAGCACCTTGCGGGGCCCTCAGCACTCAGGCTCTGGCCTGAGTCCACCGCCTCAGCTGAGCACCTTAATCCCTGACATCACAGACTGAGAGAGAGTCCAGTGCCTTCGTAGTCCTGCCAGATGCCCTTATACCTTTTCATAATACTTTCATATACAATCTGTTTTACAAAGTATTTTAATAATACTCAAATAATATTTGTACAGTTTAAACAAACAGGTGAACAAGGCATATAATAAGGTATCAAGGTCTTCCTCCCCCCAACCTGCTCCTCAATTCTACATGTAACCACAAAGGTAACTACTCTCATAGGTTTTTTTTCTTTCTCCCAGATTTTCTTTATGCAGGAAAAGATTAGGGCACAAAGAATTTGTAATTTGCAATTTATCACACTTGCAGATGAAGACCGTAACATTGAGAGAGGTTAGGTATCTTGAGGCCCAGGCCTCCTCACACTCACTTCCAGGTTTCCTGTGTTGCCACAAAGTCGAGGAGCCCTGTGGGGTTGGGTTAATGATATAAAGGCTCCTAGCTCACAGGAATGCTCCTGGCTTGTGCTGGCGAAGGCATACATTCTTGTTCTGGTAATAGACTACGTGCTATTACGTTCAACACAGCATGCTGTTACCCTAATTACATACTGTTATCCCACAATGGCGCTAACCACTGACTTCAAGCTCAGCCCCTCCACGATCCCAGGTGCCTCTGGCACATCCCAGCTTCCTTTCCTCCCATCTGCAGTCCAGCCCCTCATCTCACGTCCTGAAAACTGGACATGTCCAAAGTTCAATTCATCATCCCCTGACCACACACACACACACACACACACACACACACACGCTACACGCTGACTCACACTCTCCCTTCAGCTCGCCTCAGCCCCACCCATCTCTACATTTGGCATCGTGGCACAGGCCTTCCTTGGCATGCTGGGCCACAACCTCCTTAGTGCCTCAGCCCTGGGGACCCTCCTAGACCCCAGGACACCTGTCCACTACACTTGCCTCAGACTGCCTTCCCGTTAACCCAAGGGAACTTGGTGAGCCCATCCCGGCCTGGCCAACTCCCACCACTCCTCAGGGTGCCTCCCTCCTACCCCTGCTGAGGCAGCAGCCCTGCCAGCTCACAGCTGCACGCTGTTCACCCGGTCCCCTGCCCATCTCAGGGCATTTCTCACTCAGTGTTACTATGTACCAGATAGGTGAGAAATATTCACGCCTTTCTAAAAATTACTGCTCAGGATAAAATGTGCTGAAAATCCTTGGGCAATGAGTTTCAGCTTCTATAACTGCAAATACAACACTGTAATGTCCATTTTCCTCACTGAACAGTGTGGAAATCAAATTAAAAATGCGTGGTAAGACTCTACCACAACCCGACACTTCCTGGTAGTTACTATGCGCCAGATCCTAAGCATGCTTGTGTGCTAACCTACTTATCTCTCGCTCAACTCCCCGAAAGAAGGTATTACTGCCATCCTACTTCACAGACTAGAAAAAACAGACACAAAAAAGGTCCATAATGTGTTCAACATCCAGCCAAAGGTTGGGCTTGAACTCAGGTCTGTCTGAAGCCAAAGCTCACATTTTTTACGTTTACTCTATCTCCAATCAGAAAATGTAGCTTTAAAATTATTCAGTATGACAGACACACAAAGCTGGATTTATCACTACAACAAGCACAGTTAAGGTACCAGCCTGCCTTCAAGTTAAGAGAATAGAAATGTGAAGGCCCAGATTAGCTTGCCAAATACTCCCTAGAGCTTTCTCTGGGCCAGTCCCCAAGGTAACCTTGGTGTCTGCCTGAACCTGCCCCACAGGAGAGGAGGTGACCTGCTGTAGGTCACACAGGGCGCATAGCAGGAGAGTGAGCCCTCAAAGCCAGGTCTTCCCTCTCAAGTCCAGAATTCTGTCCACTTGTAGGAACAATCTCCAGGGAGGAAAAGAGCCTTCTTCTGCCTCCTCCCATCCCCGGCACAGGCAAAGAATGGCACAGGTGGCATCCTTCACTGCTTTTATTAGCGTGGTGGCAGATTAAGGAATGCGACCCAACTCACCACTGTACCCTTCCCTGCCCCTTGATCAGGAGGAATCAGCAGTCTTTGCTGCGTGCACATTCTGTCGCTGTGGCAACTGCCTGGTTATACTCCTGACCAGCCAGGGATGGTGGTATAGAAAATTCACGTGGTGTCCCAAGACGGCGCCCTTATCCCTTCATCTCCCATACCCCAAAGAGCAATCAAGGAGAAACTCCAAGGTGTCCCCCACCACACTCACCTGTTCAGGAAGGCATTCCCAAAGGCGTTGAGTTTCCGGAAGGGCTTTTTGGGATCCACAACCAGGGCATTCCCAGGGATGATCCCTTCCACGTCCCCGTGCATCACTGCTATGAAGGAGTCGGTTGTTGGCTCGGGCCCAATCCTCATGCCTGGGAAGTCCTGTTCCAGCAGATACCTGGCAGAAAGGAGCACAGCTGTACTGTGGGGAGTCTGCGGTAGATGGAAAAGGCATCCCTGCACCATGGCTGGCCATGTGCGAGTCACAGGAGAGGGGAGATCTGGAGCAACAAGACTCCACCAATCCTAAGACCTTCACGGAGCAGGTACAATTTCAGCTGGACTTCAGATTTCTGCTGTTCTTATTTCCCTTTTCCTCTGTGAAGGCCAGGGAAAGCAAGGTTTGGGTTCAGAACAAAAGCCTAGATTGAAACTATTCCCAGCAAGAGTACAACAAACTTCCCGGGTGAAGGCAACCTGCTGAACTTGGAAGAATAAACTATGAAGAGACTCTCCACCCACCCTAGACCTTTCGTCCCACTCTCTAACACCTGCATTTTGCATTCTGTACCCTTCTAAAAACGTTCCGTACATGCATATATTATACATTACCTATTCAAACACATACATTATACACTACATGTTTAAACATTAGTGTGTAATATATATTACACATATAATTGATTGAATGTTTAAGCAAAGAGGCAGGTCACACCTCTTTTTTTCTTTCCTGTCACTATCCATTTAATTCAAATTTTCAAAGATGAGTTTGTAATCAAAATGTCTTACACAGTACCCAGCACAAGACAGACATTCAATATGTTACTTTCCCCCCTTCTGTCCTTGAGTTTTAGGCTGTTTGTTCACCAATCTTATAGTGTTCGGTGGGTCTCTTGACTGAAGTTATAACTATGCCATTTTTTATTCGCTTTACCCAGAGAGTCCTCAAGATGTTTTATCTACTGATGCTTTTCTGTCACACTCAGCACTGGCACACACATACCCTACCCCTAACAAGCACACACCTTGCAACCCCAACGGATGCCGTGCTGTGACGCAGATGAAAATTGGCATGTTCTGTGATAATTACTTGGACAATATCAGCACACACGTCTCTATTTTATGCTTAATGTATCCAGCAGGCAGCAGCACAGATTTGCTTTATGCTCCTCGGTCACAGTACAGAAGCCCAGTGTATGGCTTATTGCAAGTCATTCGGGCGACAGGCCTACTGATAACTCGATAACTTCTGGTGCCTAGATGGAACCAAAATGATGCTATATAGTGAGTTAGTTTTGTTTTTGTTTTTGAGATAGGGTCTCATTATGTAGTGCACACTGGTTTTGAATTCACCTCATAGCCAAAGCTGGCCTTGGACTCATGGTGATCCTCCTGCCTCAGCCTTCCAGTGCTGGAATTACAGACGTGCACTGTCATACCTGGCTAAGGAGTTCGTATATTATTTCAACCAGAGAGGTGAAGAAGAGGAAGAGTTCATTTTTATGGGATAGTTTCTAAGGTCTCACTTCCTGCCCTTTACTATGAGCCAGGAGGATTAGTTGCTCACACTCAACGTGAGACCTCAGGCAGGCAGACCTCCCCTCCTCCCTGGGCCTTGTCATGTGTCCCATGAGCAGACAGGACAGTGCAATCTCCTTGGCTCCTTCTATTCTCTGGGAAGCATTTCTGGACAGCGTTGCTGCAGCCACTCCCCCTCACACCATTCCTGCCCTGGGGTGATGAGCCCTGGAGCGGGCCGGGGAGAGGTGAGCTGACTGCCCTCAACTGCTGGCTGCAGGCTGAGGTGGCCGGTGCTTCTCTGTTCTCCAGCTGTGGGCAGTGAGAGCTCAAGGTCACCTGCCTGCTCCGTAGTCACAGAGGCCCAGATCAGTGGCGCAGGGTGATCCAGAGAACAGACTCTGCAGGCAGCAGAGCGCTCTGGGATGCCAGGAGAGCTCTGAGCCCAGGAAGTGGGAGGCTGAAGGAAGGAGGCCGGAAGCGGCTCTCCTCTGGCCAGTCCCTGGAATGCCTTCCAAGGCCCTGATGGGCAAGAGCGAAGGGACACTGCCTAAGAAACGCAGATGGGGTGAGCCCTTGGGGTGCGGGGAACCTTCCTTCTCCTTACAACCTCCAGTGCCCCCTTTCATACTTGAAAGGAGGATCAAGGAGCTGTAGGAGAAGACATGTCAAGTTGGATACTTAAATTGGGAAGGAAACTTGGAGGTGTACTGCTCCTTGGTCCCCATCCTGGCTGCATATTCGACATAGTATTACTTGAGGGCTGTGGGGCTCCACATCAGAGGTTCTGAGCTGTTCATTCTGGGAGGAGGCCTCAGCAAGTGCTACATTTCAGATGTTCTCCACATGATCCGAACATGCAGCCAGGGAGGATAAACTGCTCTGAGCACTGCGCAGGCACTGTGTCCTTTGGTCCTCACAGAAGCCCAGGAGATGGGTACTGTGTGAGGGAAACGGTTGGCAAGGTTTATCCGGCTTTCTCAGAGTGAAGCAGCCAATCATGGAGCTGGAAGCCAATGCTTACCAGTCCCCTAATCCTTCACTCTGCAGTGGCTTTCTTTCCTGAGGATATCACTGTGCAGAGATTGGCTGCCCAGAGGTGGGCAGGACCAGCTGAGGTGGGCAGGTGGGTCTCCGGGGTCTGAGCCCCCCGCCATCTCAGGCCTCCCAGCTGGGCTAGAGCCCGAGAGGCTCACCGGGTCTCCTCTGGGTCCTTGCATGCTGCCTGCACCCTTGGGGAGGGTGTGGAGCTGCTCCTTACTCCACAGCTGGCTCCCTAGAAGCTTAAAGCGGTTGCTATGGGTTCTTTCCCCAGGGAACCCAGGCAGGAAGCTGTTGATCTGCAGAGCCTGAAGCACACTGCCCAGTAGGCCATGCCCCCTGCCCCAGCCACTGCTTCCGGTGGCCTTGGGAAGCCTCTGAGGCCTCCAACATCTCAGCCCAACAATTGGGGTGTGAAGGCAGGATTTCCTCTGGCCAGATGGTCACGTTGGGAGCTGGCACGAGGCTGGGATAAGAACACAGCACAACAGTCATGCACTGGGACAGCACTTCCTGCTTCCTCGGGGCGTCTTCTCCTCTGGGTCCTCTAACTCTGAGGGGGGTGCCTCATGCATACGTAACCGCAGGGAGCCTCCCTCTGCAGCAGGGACTCAGCGGCTCCCACTTACTGTGCACCTGCGTCTCTCCTGGCATTGTTCCAAAGAGCTGTGGATTATCTCATTAATATACGCACGATGATCCTCCTTGTCAAAGGGGCCTAACGAAAACCCACCTCACAGTGTTCCGGGGATTACATTAGTTTCAGAGGCTAAGCAATTAATCAGTACCTGACACCCAGAAGAAAACAAAAGTTAAACTGCTTGCTCAGTTATGCATCAGTCAAGGCAGGGTGAAGACTTGAACCTGGCATTGGGACTTGAGAATTCCTACTCCTGATTAGTGCATCCACTGTCCCTTTTCCAGCCAGGACAGGGAATGCAGCCACCCCTGGGGCCACCCAAAAGGCTTGAGCCCTGTGTGGAACTGGAGTGGGACAGGAAAGGCCACAGAAGAATACAGTTTGGTGGGAGGCTGGCCAGGACCAGGTGAAGATGTGGGATCCAAGAACCCAGGCATGCGCTCCTCTCCACAAACACAGTCCTGAAGAGCACAGCTCAGCCACAATGGCTGCAGTGTGGCAGGCCAAAGCTGCGCTATCAGGTGACTGGAGGAGGCTGGCAAGCTCTGACAGAACACTCAGAAACAGCAGAGCCCTGGCTGAGAAGTCTACAGTCAGGGGGCGTGGCAAGCGTGTACTGAGAGGGGAGGAGGGGCAGTCATCAGAGGCTGTGGGGACAGCTGAAAGAGAAAAGGGTAGAAAGAACCGTTGTGAGGCAGCTACAAAAGCACCCAGAATGAAGAGGGCCCAACAGCAGAGGCCTGTCACGTTCCTTACATAGGCTTCTCAGGTTGCATCCTGAGACATTGTGTACTCAGCTGATGAGCCAAGTCCAGCCTGTGGTCCTGTCAGGACCACTTGCTGGGAAGTCACAGAGCCACTACCTCAGAGAGGGCCCCACAGGGCTGAGTCTGCGGGCCTGCTAAGCTCACGTGACCTGAAACTTGCTGATCACACATGGGTCTTGGGAAACACAGAGTCCCCAGAGGTCAAAGCAAGTCCAGAAGCACACAGTTAGGCCAGGCTGAGAGCCAGGGGCTGGGTAAATTCTCAGGGACCTTTGGGTATGGCTCATGGCACTGGGTGCCCCTCTGACAAAGCTACCACAGTGTGCAGGATGGAAAATCTATGGAGGAATCTCCTGTACTGCTTATTTGTAGGAAGCAAGACAGATTGCCTCTGTTGCTGAGTGAAAACATTCCCACAGCAGGATAAAAAACTGAATTCAAGCCTGGGTGGGAGCTGCTGAGACAAGGACACGTGGAATAAGGAGGGACAGGGTAGCAGAGCCTTCACTGTGATCCACATTGCTCCCGGAGCTCCACCTGTATCCTTCCTCGTAATCAGAGCTACTAGCTCTGGGGCATGGCAGCGTTACTGCAGGCTTGCGGTTGGACACATTGTGGTTACCATTCAGAGCCAAGTTAACATATTTGGAGACCCTAAAGAGCTGAAAAAATTTCAGTGCTCACCCTCACCATCTCATACAAAATAAATACCGAACCTATAAAATAGGCATGGGGAAGTCCAGTGTAATTCTACTTTTTCCCACGAAGATGACTTTTCTTCACATATTTCTGAAATACATTATTTCATAATATTTTTCATACCCTTTTGGGCAGACAATACAGGACCCACTTTACACGCAACCGATGTATCCAGGGGAAGGCTTGGAGCCAAGAATCTCAACTCAACCCACCTTCGAAGTACCTAGCAGCAGTGGAGTGCAGACCCAGACCCAGACCCAGGGCCGCTGCTACAACCAAGACCAGGGTGGAGGAGGTTGGGGATCATAAGCAATGAGGCTAGAGGGGTCCCAGTGGGGCACCTCACCCAGCCAGTTGAAGAACATGCCCTCGTGGAAGTTACTCCAATACCAAACTAACTCTGAACAAGCAGACCTTGCAAGCCTTGGTGTCCGTGGTTTAAAACATGACTTGGTTTCTAACTACCTCAGTCAGAAAGTGAAAGTTTTAAGAAACAAGAGTTTGAGGAGAGCA